TACCTGCCCTTCTGGGCTCACAGACCACGCAAGACCCAGGGTCTACAGAGCTGCCGACCCCTCCCGGGTGGGCTGGCGGCCAGGCCCCCGGCCCACGGCACGACCACGCTGTCCTCCACCTGCTCGCTCCTGGTCCCGGGCAAAGTCGGGAATCCTGCGTGGGTCAGGTGGCTCAGCACGTATTTTGCTCCAGGAACGTTCCAGAACTTGCGGTGTGGTCTCTGCAGTGCTCTCTGACCAGCATTCCTTTCTGTTTGGCCTTTTCCAGGTGGTGTGTCCAATCTGGATCCCAAGTCCTCATTTGAGGGCACCAAACTGGACGTGGGAAACATTGTGCTGGCGTTGTACAGTGGCCTCTTTGCCTACGGGGGATGGTAGGTTCCGGAATGTCGGGGTTTCTGGGCCTTGGGACACGCAGGCTGGGTGGGCCCCGAAGCGTCCAGAAGTCTGGCCCTCCGCGGTGGTTCTGGAGAGTGGCAGGAAAGCCTCTCGGGGCTGCCGCTGGCCCCTTGCATCCCAGAAGAGCACAGAGAGGGTTCCAGAGCAGCCCCGGGCGCTGTCCGCAGCGCGCCTCGGCCCCTGAGAAGATGCTCCTGGAGACAGATCTCTGCTGACGGGCATAAAGCATTTAGGCTGAAGGCCCTGAGCCGGGTGGTTCTCGGCCTCTCCCCACCAGGAGCGAGGACCCTGTCTGTGGCCCTTGCCGGCGCCTTCCGTCCCTCTGGATCCTCCACTGTGGCCCCTGCCCCTGGGCCAGGCTGTACTGAGCCGTGAGAGTGGCTGCTGTGCGGCAGGCTGGCGGGCAGGCAGGTGAGGAAGGCGCTGGAGAGGGTCAGGCAGCGGACAGGGTGCCTCGGGGCACGCTTAGTGGAGTGGTGCCATTTAGCACGGGCACTGAACCCGTGCGGGCCGCCTTTGAGTCTCTTTCCACGTGGCCTCTGAGCCTGACCTTGAGTGCTCAGCGTGGACGTTAATATCCGCACACGAAGCGGGCCTGTGCGGGTTGAGGTGCCCAAGACGCCGCCGTTCAGGCTGGACCGTGCGCCCGCCTCAGACACGGTGCTGGTGCCTGGGGTGGGGGACGCAGCGGGTCAAGGCCAGGCTGTTGGGGGGGCGGCTGATTTCCCTCAGGACAGGGTGTTGCCGTGCCAGTAGGCACCCCTGTGTCCCCGGCTGCTCGCCAAGTGGTGGTGGGGGGGCGGGTGGTGGGTGCGGGGATCTCGTCCCCAAGGGCCCAGAGCAGCCAGGAGGGGGTCCCATGGGATCCGTATTCCCCTAATGATTGTGGGTCGGGAAGCATAATTAAATTCTGCTCTCTCGATTCTAGGAATTACTTGAATTTCGTCACGGAGGAGATGATCAATCCCTACAGGTACGAGTGTGAACAGGGACTTCTGTCATTTTCATGAGAGAAGGTTCTGCCTCCCAGCCACCCACGGGCCCACCCGCGGCCGGAGCAGTGCGGGGCCTTGCAGGGGGTGGGGGTGGGGGGCTTTGGGGTTAGAACTCGTGCTGGGGAGGTGGGTGCTGGTTTTCAGCCTCACACCGGCCACGTGGTGGCCAGGTGACCTCAGACGAGGTCCCCCTCAGGACGGGCAGGAATTCCTGCTTCACGGACCTGGGCTCAGGGATGGGGGGTTGAGTCTCCAGCCCCGGTTCACACAGCTGCCCGTCCGCAGGGGCCAGCTTCCAGCCGCTAAGCCGTGCTGGTGACACGTCCCACTGGGCCCTTCCCCACGCCGCGAGGCTCAGGCCCCGGCTCCTCGCCATCCGGTCTGGCTCCACGCCGGGCTGCGCTTAGCTGACGTGCCCCTCCCCTTCTTTCCAGAAACCTGCCCCTGGCTATCATCATCTCCCTCCCCATCGTCACCCTGGTGTATGTGCTGACGAACCTGGCCTACTTCACCACATTGTCCACGGAGCAGATGCTGACGTCAGAGGCTGTGGCCGTGGTAAGACGCCACCCTCCAGCCTGGCCGGGTCACCGAGAGGCCCACCCTGCCATCTCTGAGCCCCCGATGCTGAGCAGACCGGGCCCCTCATCCTCGAACCACACGCTACCCAACGGGTCAAGCTGTGCCTTGCTTAGTCCCGGGAGAGAGTAAGGTGCCGGCTCTTAACCCTGGCTCACGTGACACGCACGGGGTGTTTGAAAGTGCTGGTGCCCAGCCTCCCCCAGGCCAGCGCTCGGTCAGCACGTCTGTGGTGGTCCCAGCCAGAGTGATTGGGTTGTTTTAGGTTTCTTTAGTTTTGAGAGAAAACACACGAGCAGGGGAGGGGCAGAGAGAGGACGGAGCGAGAATCCCAAGCAGTTTCCGCACTGTGCGCACAGAGCCCGACACAGGGCTTAAACTCACAAACCGTGAGATCATGACCTGAGCCGAAGTCGCGTCCTGAGCTGCCCCTGCTGGGCATCGTGGACGCTGGGTTCAGAGGAGGGGCGTGGCATCTCCGGGTCCCACAGAGGCGGCCGACTGAGCGCCTTGCCAACCCCCAGACCACGCGGGGGTCCCCAGAGCCGGTGGTCCCCCCACCTGCAGTGCCCACCCCTTCCACCTTCTGAACGAACCCCAGGCCCCGCTCTGGGCCCGGTGTGCGGGGCCGGCCAGAGGTAGCACTTGTGCTGACGGGGGAATGTGGGTGCCCGTGAGAGGTGCCCGAGGGAAGTGCCCGCAGGTGTGGACGGGGAGTGAGGCCCGGGGCACCGTGCCAGACGAGGCCCTGTCCCTGGGACCGCCCCCCACAATCCAGTCCCCAGGGGCTCGCTCCGTGTGGAGAAGCCTCCTGACGAGCACGTAGGAAGCCGTCGCCAGGAGGGGGCTGGGCCGGGAGGCGCCGCGGGGCCTGGGGGCTCACGCTCCGTGTTTGCCTAGGACTTCGGGACCTATCACCTGGGCGTCATGTCCTGGATCATCCCCGTCTTCGTGGGCCTGTCCTGCTTCGGCTCTGTCAATGGGTCCCTCTTCACGTCTTCCAGGTGAGCCCACACCAGGACCAGCCTCCTGTCACCCGGGCTCTGTGGGGGCCGGGGCGGAGTGGGGGGCCGTCCTGCACGCCGCTGTCCAGTGCGTGTTCGAAAGTCTGCTTCCTCACTGAGGAATACGTAGCCGTCAAAACGTCCCAGTAGTGCAGAGCTACGGGACCCGTGGCCTCTACCCTGCCCCCCCCGGTCCCCTGCCCACAGGCGACACGACTGTGTCCTTCTGGAATCTTTCATGGGTTCGCTTCAAACACGGCCCGGAGGGGGGGACGGAGGCGAGGAAGGCTGAATTTGCCCCTTTGCCAGCTGAGCCCAGCAGGGCCCCTGAGAAGCCCGGCCCTTGGGCCCGGCCCTCTGCGCTCCCCGCCCCGCCTGGGGGCCCACGGGGCGGAGGCTGAACGCGCGCTCCTCTGTCCGCAGGCTGTTCTTCGTGGGGTCCAGGGAGGGCCACCTGCCTTCCGTCCTCTCCATGATCCACCCACGGCTCCTGACGCCCATGCCCTCCCTCGTGTTTACGGTAGGCAGGCTGTGCCGTCCGGAGTCCTGTCTTCCAGCCCCAGTTGAAATGGGAGACTGGCGCGTCCCTCGGGGCCCGCCTTGGGGGGCTCCCTGGCGGGAGGCCACGCGTTCCCTCTGCGTGAAGCCTGTCGCGGCTTCGCCTGGCGTCCGCTGGCTGCAGACGGGAGGTGGACGCTGAGACAGAGCCCCCTGACGCCAGTGTTTCCTCACGCTCTGCTCTCACCGAACGCCAAAGGGCACCGGATTCTTTCATTCCCAATACTACGCGTAGTGGCTGTAAAACAGAAAACCTCGGAACAGCCTGGAAGCGGGTGAGGAGAAGACTCTCCCAGGAGACCGCTGTTGACAGGCAGCTCCCTGATCTGTGTGGGCGCCGTGCACGCACAGCGTTTGCTTGCTCGACGAGATCACGTTGTGCGTTATCCTTCAGCTCGTCCGACGTCTGCCCGTGCGGGTGCACGCGGGGTATTAGTTCTCGGCCGCTACGGGACTGACCCCCCCCCCCCCCCCCCCACCAAGGCCATAGGGGAACGGCTCGCGTGCGGCTGGAGGCGCCTCTTCCCAGGTGGCTCCCCACACAGCCACAGGCAGGAGCACGCGCCACGTTTTCTGTGACCTGGGCTCAGAAGTCACACCCCGTCATTGCTGTGCTTTTCTGTGTTAGGAGTGCGAGCCCGTAGGCCCAGCGGACGGAGGGTTTAGGTCCACCTCTCGGAGAGAGAAGCATCAAGCAATTGTTGGATGTGTTTTGGTTTTTTATTTATTGTATCTTATCAATTTTTTTAACATTCATTTCTGAGAGGGAGAGACAGAGCGTGAGCAGGGCAGGGGCAGAGAGAGAGGGAGAAGCAGAATCCAAAGCAGGCTCCGGGCTCCGAGCTGTCAGCACAGAGCCCGACCCGGGGCTGGAACCCACGAACCGCGAGATCGTGACCTGAGCTGAAGTCGGACGCTTCACCGACCGAGCCACCCCGGCGCCCCCGGACGTGTTTTAAAACACGGCAGGGTTCAGTCTCAGTATTGAAACTGCCACGTGGTGGTCACGGCCGGGGTGCGCCACGTTTGTTTAAACGACCCCATAGTGTGCCAGTGACGCCGCGGCGAGGGTGGGGCTGGGCGTCCCCTCCTGCTCCCCGTGGCGCGTCTGTCTCTTCCGTAAAATCCAGGCGCCGTCACTGTTTTCCCATTTGCTCCTGCCTCTGCTCTCGGAGAACTCACGTGTTGTCCAGACCGGGCCCTCCCTTCGGAGCCAGAGCGAGCAGGTGTGGTTTCCCCATGTCCTTCCGGCTGTCCTGCTCACCGCGTCCCCGTTTCTCTGCTTGCAGTGCATCATGACCCTCCTGTACGCCTTCTCTAGAGACATTTTCTCCGTCATCAACTTCTTCAGCTTCTTCAACTGGCTCTGCGTGGCCCTGGCCATCATCGGCATGCTGTGGCTTCGCTACAAGAAGCCCGAGCTGGAGCGGCCCATCAAGGTGAGGGCCTGGCCGCTGGGGCGTCGGCACGGCCCGGGGCCGGTCGGGGGGTTGGCAGTCACGCACCTGAGAAACAAGGTCTGAGTGTCCGTCAGAGCCCTGGGCTGGGAACCAGGTGGTTCTGTGCCTGTGGCTTGTGGCCGGGCCGGCCGCTGTCCCCCGCTGAGTCTCTGTCTTCCCTCGGCAAGCCAGGGGTCAGGGCCCCTTGTCCGGAGCGTTCTGGTAAGGATCGAGCAAGGTAAACGTGGACGTGCTTGTCCACTAGACCGAGAGTGACTGTTCCTTGGGAATCTCTTAAGTGCTGACACGTGATTGCAGGTGCTGGGGGTTCATCAAAGGATAAAACTGACCCCCTGAGTCTCTGGCCCCCTAGAGCTTCTGTTAACACGGGAGAAGCAGCACACGGGAACCTGAGTGCCAGGTGGGCGGGTGGCCCTGACTGGCCTGGGACTGCGTGGAACAGCATGTTGGGACAGGCAGGCACCAGGGCGGGAAGGGGAGGGGGAGGCCAGGCGGGGTGGAGGCGGAACTGGGGCCCCCCGAGGTCTGCCTGTCCACGGCGCCTGCCCCGGCCTCGCCCTGCCCGGGGGAAAGCCGGGTGCCGGCCCGGCCTGAGGTGGGCGCTCTGCCACCTTGTCAGGGGGGACCCGGTTTCTCCTAAAAGGGGGACCAGAAGGCTGGGCCCCTGCTGAGCCCCGACACTCACATCGTGGCCAGCTGGTGGCAGCTCCCGTCCCTCGTCCTCTTTGTGGTGGCGTGTGGTCCTGCCTGGCAGTCGGCGCCTGTCCGTGAGCCTCCTCCCTGGCTCCCCGCCCAGCGGTCCTGCAGAGGCCAGCGGGGTCCAGGAAGGGTTCTTCCAGGGGGGGACCCGGGAACCTGGGCCATCTTGGCCCTTGCGTGTGGTGGGCTCTGATTCTTTGTCAGCTAGGACAAGGGGTGGCCGCTGTCCTCGAGTTAGGCAGGGCCCATGGTGGGCTCTGTGCCCAAGTTAGCAGGGGCCCGCGGTGGCCACTGTCCTCGTGTTATCTGGGGCCCGTGGTGGCCACTGTCACCCTGTTATCTGGGGCCCGTGGTGAGCTCTGCCCGTGGAGCCAGGTGGTGCCTGCAGTGGGCTGACCTAGTGAGACCCCTGTTCATCATTGTTCCCCCCCGGGGTCTCCTGCGGCGTGAGGATGAGCTTGCCCAGCAGAGGGCACGGGGGAGGCAGAATCGGAGGCAGAATCCGGACAGGCGCCCCACCCCCACCCCCACCCCCACCGGGCTGTGGATGGGTCTGTGGGCGGGTCTGTGGCTCCTTTGCCTTGAGCTCTGCGGGTGGGCTGTCTGCCCCCTGCTGTGCAAACCGCGGCTCAGCCTGTCCACAAAGGGCCCTCTGAGAAGGCAGGTGCTGCCGTGTTATTAGCGGGTAGCCGCGGTCTTCCCAGAAGCGCCGGGCCCCACTCTGGATGACGGCGGGAGGGGTGCCGGGCCAGGGTCTCCACCCTGCGACA